AAATTCTCTTAAAAATGTACTATTCCTAAGCATTAAATATTTATTTTCTGATGAAAGAACTGTAAGATCAAGAGATCAGATATCAAAATTACTGAAATAGGTATTATAGGACGCAATTAAAAAGAAATACTAAGGACAAGAATTTAGAAGATAGCATGAAAGTATGGTGTTGCCATAATTAGATTATTTACATATTTGCTTTTAGAATTCACATCTCGCTTTTTCCCTAAAATACTAACATGCACACTAAAATAAATTCAGCAAAAGGGAAATGGGGACCTTAGAAAGACTCTGACTCTGAACTTCTTGGAGGCAAGGCAGAAAAGTGAACATACAAGGTTACACCGAGTCCTAGGGATGAGAAAACATAAAAGCACTATTTCTGCAGGAGAAACCATTTTTTTCTTGCTTTTCCTTCTAGAAGTTTCTGAAATAAAATCATTTGTAGTGGACACTGAGTAACTTAGTGGACAATGTCCTTGGCAAAATTTTACCAAGTAATTGCATGAGTCTTATTCCTTCAAACACACAGTCACTTGCATAATATTAAAATGAAAGTAAATAGGGAATTTTTCAAGAGGCTGAGATTTGTGAATTCAAATACCTAGGATAGTTGATAAAACTTGGTGGCAAAATTTGAGGTACAGGAGGAATGAAGGACTAAGAGCCTTTGATCATCTCACCTAAATATTTTCACTTCAGTTTTATAAACTTGCATTAAACCTGTGCAGCATGGGAATCGTACCATGTAACACAGGTGACACTCAGGTATGGGCCAACGCCACCTTTTTATAAAGCCTTGTCTCTGCGATCTTATCTATGACAGGTACTCTTGAATGCAGGCTCAGGACGCCCTGAAGAAATGCATTTCTTTTCTGGAACAATCAACAAATATTCTTCACAAAAAATAGCGGAATATGTTTGCCAAAGCCATACAATAGACTAATAACAATTTGATATTTCTGTCTAAGGATTAAGTTAATGGCTATTTAACTCATGGGGTCTTTAAAATCTAATGAAAACTAAGACAGTACTTTGGATCAAGCTTATTAGATTTTTTCACAAAACATACTCTTTGATATTCAACACTGAGGATTTTATGGTTTGAGATGTTTGTTAGCAATGAATTGGTAAAAATGTGAAGAATAGCCGAAACCGGTTTGGCTCAGTGGACAGAGCATCGGCTTGCGGACTGAAAGGTCCCAGGTTCGATTCCGGTCAAGGGCATGTACCTGGGTTGCGGGCACATCCCCAGTGGGAGATGTGCAGGAGGCAGCTGATCGATGTTTCTCTCTCATCGATGTTTCTAACTATCTATCTCTCTCCCTTCCTCTCTGTAAAAAATCAATAAAATATATTTAAAAAAATGTGAAGAATGTGTAGAAAAGTGTCATAATGCAGTTATTATACTTCATGCATTATAGAAAATACTTATTGTAATGACAGAAATTTTGGCTGCTTTAGCAATCAAGATCTATGGGGGTCTTGATAATTCCAGTTAAGTAAAAATGCATAAATATGAACCTGAATTATTATAGGCAGTTAATTGAAAGTATTTGTGTTGAAATGTAAATTCTTGAGGGATAGTACCGAATAATTAAACATGAATAGATTTTGTATTAATGACAGCAGAAAATTAGTCAAAATGAATGCCAAGATTCTCAAGTAAAGTACTAAAATATGCTGTGTTAAAGTATTCTATGGGAATACTTCTTTGAATTTCTTAACCAAAGTCAGCAGGAAACATATAATTCAATATTTCACACTACTTAAGGAGTCTCCTGGTTTAGACATCCCAAATAACTGAAGAGCTAAGTTTACTGAATGCCCCACGAATATCTCAAATATGCCTTAGAGAAATTGAGAGTTCTACATGAAAATTATTTCTTCTCTGAAATAATGATTACTGAAACATTGTAGAATGCCCTACACTTAACCATTCCATTACAAAAGAATGTTAAAAACTTCAGGTTGCCTTGTTGGCCTGTTAAGTATTGTAGAATAATTTGCATGTGAAAACAATCACATACTGAAAATGATACATTTTCTTCATGTCTACCTACACTAAACACAATAGAAAATAATTTTTGTTTAGAGTTCTTTCAATTTAAAAAGATACCCGTTGATAGTATATAAAATTTAATAATTATGATGGGAAAAGTATTCGTGTACAATACTTAGCTGTGATTCCTCTCTGCTCTACTCATGCCTTTTCCTACCTGTTATAGATGATGACTATTCACAGTGACACAGAATCCTCCCCACACTCCATGTCAATGAAGTGACACATAAAACAAATCAAACTTCCAAGTGTCAACTAGATGGCAGGTCTAATTTGTTATTGCCAGGAGGACAGTGCTGAGTAATGCATAAAAAATGGGCTAAAGTACAATACCAATTTGCATCTGTGTTGTTCATTTAACATTTAATTACATTAGGCCTTGTATTATTACTTAAGCATTTCACTTCCCACAACTTGTCACCTCAATGAATCATACTAATCAAGGAACATGTTATATTTTCCTAATTAACTGATCAGACATCTCTTCGACTTCTCCTTATTATGTTGTATAATGTTATGTGCATTATATATCTACTAGAGGCTCAGTGCACGAAATTCGTGCACCCGGGGGAGGAGGTCCCCCAGCCTGGCCTGTGCCCTCTCACAGTGTGGGAACCCTGCGATTGATAGCCCCAAAGAGGTAGGCCCCGCCCACCCATCTGGGGCTCCTTGATGGATTGCTCCAAAGAGGTAGGCCAGAGCCGGGGGTCCCGCCTCCGCGGTGGACGCAGGGCCGTGGGAACCCCGGCAGAAGTTGCATGGAGCAGCCACCGGGACTCACCTCCGCTGTGCGTGCAGCCATCTTGTGACAGCGTGAGGACCACCCAGGCTTTTATTAGTAAGATTAAATAAAGAGTGAATGAAATGATTACATTCAAATTTAGTAGCATTTCTGTACAGCATAAGATTCCTTTATAAAATCCCTTGACTTTGAAGTAGTCAACTTTTTGTCCTCTATGCATAGTGTGAGGTTGACAACAGATGTCCTTGGAAGTAAAAAATACAATTAATGAAAAACCCACGAATATCTCAAATATGCCTTAGAGAAATTGAGAGTTCTACATGAAAATTATTTCTTCTCTGAAATAATGATTAATGAAACATTTATACTATGAAAAATAATAAATTTTACCAAAGAAAATAGTCTCTAAATATTAAATGATTAGGAAGAAAGAGTAATGCCAGATGCTGTTAAAATAAAAAATATTGATATTATCTTTATTGTAACTGGAAAAGGAAGCTATGTCATATACTTTGTGCTCTGAGTGAGACATAGTTTTAATTGGAATTTCACATTAGCTGCGTAGTGCTCCTGAGCCAGATTCTATGTCAATGCCAGGATTCTGGGCTTTTACACCTGCTTAGATATCCTTTTTGTCTGTTATCTCTCTCCTATTGGGTATATGATAATAACTTTTTAATAATTCAATAATGGGGAAAATAGCTTTTTTCCCCCAACTGTCTCTCCTCTTTTATACCACATCACCTCTGCTTGTAATAACAGTTCGATCAGACACAGCTATGCCATTCTTACTTTAAAATGGCTGATGCACCACACCTCTGATTTTAATGCAGTTATTCTGAGAAGTAAACAGCTACTTACATGGTGGATTCTGTGCTTGTATAATGAGAGCCTTTTTCAGATGATGAATTAAAAAGTATTTGATAATATTTTCAGAGTTAAGATTTTATTTAGTGATGACTGTGGGTCAGAAATGGCTCCCAGAGCTTTACGTATGACGGTTTGTAGAATTCTCATAGCTTTATAACCTAGGAATTAGTGTCACCGCAGAGAGGTGTCTGACCCAGGCAGTTGAGGTGGCTTGCCGGAGCCACCCAGCTACAAAGTGTGAATCTGGAACGCCAAGCCAGGCTCCCTGGGGTCCAAACCCATGCTCTTTCCTGTCCAGGCAGACCCTGCTTCTCTAAAAGAACAGTCCCTTTTTTTAAAAAAATATCAATGATATTTTCACAAGCCAATGCAGAAAATTTGATAGCAGATGGTGGATTTGTTATTATGTCATTTCATTTACGTCTGAAAAAGGATTTCTCATATATGACATCCTCTGAAACCTCTCCTATACACACTAGCTCCTGGCCCCTCGCACCGAAGAATGAGAGGCACGGATCACAAACACTCAAGGTCTTGGCTTTTAAGGAGCCGAGAGAGGAAAAAAGATTTCAGAAAATTTCCAATACATTTCTGCTCACATACCTTGAAAAAATTAAAAGTACACTGTAGATGCATGCACTATCTACAAGTGTACATTTAGAGAGCAAGGTGAATTATAACCAAGTTAAAAAAACAGTATCTGATTTGCACCCATAAGTAATCTAACCTCCGCATAAGCTCACCCATGTATACAGCCCCGCTGAATATAAAAGCTCATGCTTTCACCCACAAGCACACAGATGCGCTGAGTCCAACAAAGCCTTGTTTTTCACACGAGGGTCTCCACCCCCGATGGTTACTTTCAAGGCTTGCTATCTGTTAAGCGTTGGCACGAGAACGCTGTTCCTTAGATGGACCCATCCATTTCCTCCCGTTCCACCGAAAGCCCTTCTCCAGGCCATCGAAAGCCTCAAGGCTTGCTCATCCTCCTCTCCACTTCAGCAGTAACAGAAAGCAAACAAACATGAATGAGATGCTGGTTCTCATGCGATCTGACTCACAGCACCCTCATTTTCTATGGCACGATACCACGTGGGCCTGAGAGCGCTGGGCTCACGAGGTGTTCCTGGTTGAATAAACAAGGGATAAATATACTTCAGGAAGATGAAAAGGAGAAGGGGGGAAACAAACGAGCAAACAGAACCCCTGTGACCTGACATCATGGAAAAAATAAAAAAAGACACTAGGATGAAAAAATAAATAGTGTCATGGTTTACATGTGGGATTTGGATGGAATCTAGGGCTGTGTTTTCAGTCAAAACTCACCATCTCAAAACCACTTCTTTTCATCCGCCTGCAGGACTTGAGGTAAGTACGGATGCGCTTTCTGGCACGCTCTTGGTACTCAGGGAATTGTCGCCTGCATGAGTCAATGATAGCCTGGATCTTTTCTTTGGGCTGCTTAGAGATTGGGACCATTCGGTCCAAGTTTTCATCTACAAACAGCCTGACAAACATCTGTTGGCAAGAGGGAGACAGAGGAGAAGGGTTTGGAGGGCTGCTCTCGGCTGTTCCTCGCTTCCTGTCTTGATCACGGATAGGAAAAATACTCTTGTTTTTTGGTGTATTCACTGGAGAACTTTGCAATGGAAAGCCAGAGATTTTAAGCAAACACCCTTTAAAGACTTTCTCAATGGTTGGATAAAAAAAGAGAGAAAGAGAGAGAGAGAGAGAAAGGCAGACAGACACAGACAGACAGAAAAGTATAGACTATTGTGTAGAAAAAAAACAGGAGGCAACAGTAGACTGCGACAACGAAGCACCCCATCAAATTCTCTGTTGGAGAGAAATGCAATACGGCCGCCACTTTGCTATTCTGCACACAGACCACGGACTCTCTGTCATGCATCATTAACAAGCTGGGCAGCAGAAGAGCGAGCTGGTGGCGGGCTGTGGACGCTTCACCCGCCGGGTCCACAGGATACTCACACAACACGCCCATGTCCGGCCACACGGGCCTCAACATCCTAAGCAAAACACAGCCATTCTGGTGTCTGGTTGGCAAAGAGTATTTCCTGTGCTTTTAATAAACGCCTCTGCAAATTAAACAAACACGCCTCTAAAGTATCCACATTTACCAGCAGGCGACATGGGAGTGCAGGGTGAGCAGTGAGCCACCGGGGAGCTGGGAGACTCACGTTGAAAGCCTTCAGCCGCTCGGCCTCCACGCCGTCCGTCTCGGCCACCTTCTCGGCGTCGTCGTGGTCCTCGTGGTCCTCATCATCCTCGTCCCCCCTGTGCAGGGACAGGTCCTCGGCCCCTCGCTCTCCGCCCTCGTGTTTGCTGGAGTCGTAGCTGGAGTAGCTGTGTGCAGGGGACTGGAGAGAGAGGAGAGGAGGAGATGGCCGGTTTACATGCACTGCCCAAACTTAGACAGAGTGTTTTATTTCTGAATTTGAGCTGTTTCTCAAAGAAAGTCTTGCTGAAATGAGTTGATAATTTTGAGAGCTGTGGCTATTCTAATTTAAATGAAAATTAATTAAAATTTCATTAAAAATGCATTTCCTCAGTCACACCAGTCACATTTCAAGTGCTCAAGAGGCCCATGGGATCTTCCCATCGAGGCACAAAATTTTATTGGATTTAGCTTTTTGAGAGCAATTGCTGTTTCCACTCAATGTCCCTGTTCCAAAGAAAAGAAAAACCAACCTGTAATCAATTTTGCAAGAGAACCATTGAATCACACGTTCTTCGCGATGGAAATGACCTCAGAGCTGAGCCGGCCTCCCTGCATTAGGATTCTTCAAACGGATAAGGACACTCAGGGGCGGGCGTGCTCAACTGGCTTGCCCAACAAGGACCAAAGTATCGCTGAGACTAGGCTTGTGCTTTGTCTGACAGCATGCTTTCCAATCCGTTTACAAATCGTCTGAGTCTCAGGATGGCGTCTGATTTTGGTTTAGAAAACAAGGAACCAGGGTTCCTCCAATGATGTCTCACGCTTAGTGTTTGCTGACGCGTAAGAGATGACGAAGGCCAACCAAGACAATGTTCCCAGCTGATCCCTGTACCCGAGACCAACCCTGGGTCCTGCTGTGTGGCTCCTGCTTCTCTGTCAGCCCAGAGTCTTTTCCTTTGGGAAACAGCTCTTCTTTCCACCACGTGAAGTGGCGATCCCAGGGGCACCAACCTTCTCCACCTTCTGCGTGTGCCTCACCTTCTCCTCCAGGTGAAAAAACACACCAAACTCGCCTGTAACTGAAACCAAGCTGAGTCCAGCAGAGCTAAGCAGAACCTCCCATGAACATCTAGATTCCACTGTGCTGGAAATTAACCTACACACTCCTCAGATGTATGATAAAATACATCCTCCCTGCACCCCCCTTTACGTTGATTAAATCTGAGTTTAGTCGCATGTAATTGAGTCTGGAGTGGCACAGAAATCAGTCATTATAAGGCCAGAGTAATGAGGCAGACTTCACACATACTAATTTAGATACATAGGTGGCTCCCGGTACACACATAACAATATCTGTGAACAGCAGCGGCTTTCCTCACATCTATCCATAAAGCCAAATCCTTCTGAAAGACCTTGACAATGGAAAATTTTAAATCAACGGTATTCAAAAAATGCCCCTGTGAAATGTTAACATGTGTGTAGCATGCTTTAAGGATCACACAAATTTAGCTGTATAATGAGAGGAGAAATTGTAAAACTAGAATAGACAACTGACCTCAAAATGAAGTTAAAATTTAAAAACCAGAATATTTTTATAGTTCAAAACATTAAGAAGTGGAATTACCTAATAAAATACAAGGCAAATATTCCATAGGTTTGAAAAATAAACCATATAGAATATGTTTTTAAATGACAGTGTGCAATATTTAGAAAATGTTATAATATACTTATCTGCATTCAAATATGCCAAGCTAATTTATTCTTTCTCCGCACCCTATGAGACACACAAACCAGCATCTGCTACAAACAGAATCAGCTGGAACCAAAAAGGATGTACAGGTAAACAAAGATGTCTCTTCAGGTAAACAAAGCCCATCCTTAACGTATTTGAGAATATTCAGGCTCTGAATCTCAAGCATAATCCATATAAACGAAATGATCCTCTACAATGTAAACTAAAATGATAAAAGCTCTGAATCCTGTTTCTCAAGTGGAGTTTCATTTCTTGCCTCTCTCTGGGCCAATCAGATTAAGTTCCCTGTCTACAAAGATCCCCACCTGTGCCTCAGTCCATCTCCAATCCTTTGCTAACCTGTGAGCTCGTAATGCCTGGACTATGGCCTTTGACACAGAAGTAAACACCTCCATTGCTCTCTCCATTTCTTCTCATGTGAACGTGCACTTTCCTTCAAGCTACACTGAGAGGCAGCAAAGCAGATCCTTCCCGTCTCCCCTCACACCACCCAGGGCATGCTCTCCGCAGAGTTGCCGCTCAAGGCTAGTTTCTCGTTTTCTACAAAACTAGCTGGTCTTAAAAACGGAAAGAGGATAAGCCACAGACTGGGAGACGAGAACGGCTAAAGACACGTCTGATAAAGGACCGTAACCCAAAATATACAAAGAACACTGAAAACTCAACGAGAAAACAATTAGATTAAAAAAGGACCGAAGACCTTTATGAGTGATAGGCAGGCATTTATGAGAAGCAGTTTTTGAGGATGCAATGAAATCATACAGAGAGATTCAACACTGTAAACAGATAACAAAAAATCTTAGTACACAATTCAAGGCAAAAAAAAAAAAAAAAAAAAAAAAAGGAGACACTTTGGACAGGCTCCATAAACGCTGACGGAGCAGGGGGCGAGGAGAGAGTCTAAGCTGTATTCTAAAATGAGTTTAAGAACAACTGATTCAGGGCAGTCTCCTGGCACGCATGCCTCGTGTACTAAATGGTTACTGCAGTTTTTCTTCCTGAGGAAAAAAAAGATGCCCATCATTCAACAGATTCCACTTAGAAACAGAAGCCGTAAGTCAAAAGCAACGCGTTTTATGTGAAGCTGCTGTATACTTCGATGGGAAAGAATCGCTCCTGAGAGAGTTATACATTTTAGCCCATTTGTCAAGACTTTTATTTTTATGATACAAATGAGGACAGAAATGTGTGTGAGGAATGGCATTTAAAGTTTCTTTCAATTCCAAGCTTCTATGATTACACCACTTTTGAGAGAAGAACCCAATGAAGTATATATGTTCTTTCAGCTTCTAGAGACAGATGTTGTCAGCGACACGGGTTTATTTCATATCACAAAGTTAGAACACACGGATAACAGGAGTCTTGTGATCCAGTGAGTTCAAATGTGCATCCCTGATTTAACTGTCCTTCCAACATTTCAAAAACAACTACTAAAGACATTAACGCATCACTCTGAAGGAGAAATTCCCAGATGGCAAAATTCATCTTCTAACATTTCAGTTTAGTTCTACAACTAAAGTAATACAAGGGAAATGCAGGCATCAGATCTCAGAACGTCTATTGTGAATATCAATTAGATTTTCTTCAAGTATTTTTAAAAAGACAAAAAAATGTTATGGGTATCATTAGTGTATTTTCCCCCAAACCCTTATTTTGCTATAATATTATCTGATGTGTTTTTAGAAGAACTTCTTTTTCTTTTTGAAGTTGAATTGGAATTTAAAGTGAGCCTTCGAAGTGAACCATTGATTCCATCACCAGCAACACAAACGACTGTAATATTATAGTGGTTTTCAGGCATTATTACTATTTTTGTTCTCAAGGGACTGGGGTTGTATAAATATTTTAGCAATGTTGAGTAATAATTTCATCAGCCTAGGCTTCAGATACTAAAAAACAATTGATGTTTGACAAGTAGAATTGCCACACCTGCTATCTATTATTACAATGCTTTTAACTTGCAGATTAAATGTTTCGTTTGTCTTATTTAAAAAAAAAAGTCTAGTCATAAATAATAGTAACATCAATAGTAATAATAACAATGATAACTAAGACTTATATTGTGCATATTATGTTCCCGTTCTGTACTTAATACTTTATACAAATGTATTCTCACAAGGACCCCATGAGGAAATACTAGTATGCTTATTTGACTAGTGAGAAAGGCAGAGTAAAAAAATGGTGGAGTTGTGATTTGAGCTCCTGCAGGCTTGTTTCAGTGCCCACCCACCCACATCTCTATGTTACAGAATACAAGATTTAAATCATACCACCTCTGGCTTGAGATTATTTGGACACTATGAGACATACTTAATCTACCCTTAATCAGTATAACGCTACCTGCTGTAACTGACAAAATCCTCCAAAATTCAGTGACTAGACACAATTCAATTCTCCTTCAGATGGAAGTTCAAATTATTTCTCTGACTGGCAGGGGAGTTCACGAGGTCATCCAGGGACCGAGGCTCCTTCCACCTGTGGAAACCTAGGGCCTGAGAGTCCTCTACACCCAGCCAGTAGAGAAACAAGGGAGGACCATCCATGGGAAGTGGCTATGGGCCCACCTGGACCTGGTACATTTCACCTCCACTCACTTTCCATCGCCCAGACCTCAATCACGGGGACGAGGAAGACTTGGAAATTCTGTTCAGCTGTGTGCCCAGGAAGAAAACTGGACTGGTGAGCAGCTGGCCAGTACCGCCCACGTCTTCATCTATCTTCCTAGTGATGTTTTACTCATTTTCTTGCTCCAAAACTAATACTTACTCTACTAGACTTCTCTATCTTTTCTAGAGACGCCATAGGTATTCATCAAAATGAATGTTACTAGTACCTACAAAGGATGTTGTGAAGTTAGAGTAAGAATTGAAAAATGGCGGCATCCTGGCCAAGAGGGAGCCTTTGGGCATTAAGAGGAAGAGCTACAGTGGTGGCTCTCTGTCAGGGAGGTCTCTACTAACAGCTCCTTTGCTCTTCCACGAGGAACATTTATCTACTTAAGGCCCCCTGTTCTCCTCTGTCCCTGGGGCAAGAAATTAAACTCTCTGTAGAATTTATAGAATTTCTTGAGAAATTTTGACTGCATGGTTATTGATACATAGTAAACATCCCAAGATATTCTGGGTTTGTTAATTGTTAATTTAAATAAGTGCTCTGCAAACACTTTGTGCTAGGGATACAACAAGTGCTTAATAGAAGCTTATGGATTATTGTTTAGGTAATATTGGTTTTGAATGGTAGGGCGAAAAAGAGAGAATCCAAACTATGACTATAAATTAAATAAAGGCTTACAGAAACCTGAGACTCTTTTCCTTTGAAATTTACTTTTTAAAGCAGGTATAGTGGCCCTCTCTCGGCCACTGGAGCTTACCGTTGCATCGGTGAGTGTGGCAGGGGAGCCAAACCTAGGTTTGAAATGAATGACTCTTTGCTTTTGCATCGCACTC